CTAATGTGTGTGTGCGTGTGCGCACAATGTGTGCTTTTGTGCACACCGATTTCCGTACATGCATACTATTTATGAATTTCCAATTTTGTCAGCTTGTGTGTGTGGTGCTTTTGAGCAGGCTCCCCGCTGACGCCACAGGGTGAGAGTCGTCACATGCTGAGGGGCTGTCCGCTGTGTTAGCACCAAGTGGCTAAAACTCCATTTTCAGCAGTGTTTGAAGCCACAGGATGAAAGTCTCTGCTTTCTCTCTTACTCCCTCTCACTCTCTGTTCTGACACGTCTGATGGACAACTCAGTGGCCAGCCACTTCTTTAATTAAAGGCAGAGTCTGACATTTTTTCCACAGATGAAAGACTATTGACCTGATAGGGCGCTGGCCAGACAAGGACGATGTGTGTATCACTGAACCCTAGACTGGGTATGTGCGTGTATTCTGTAGGTACACATGTCTGTTTTAGCCAAGGGGCCGGTAAGAGGGAGCACCTTTAAAGTCAAGTCTTGACACTGTGGAGGAATGTGGGTAGAATCAACCCTAATATGAATCACACTACTAGCTGCAGTTGTAGTTTGACTGGTGTTTCATTCATAAAAGCCTTGGACCACAGGTAACTGCAGTGATTCCATTCTGGCTGAGGAAGATCCACATTGGTCCTTTGCTCAAACACTCACACCAAGACTGAAGACAGTCGTGTGGTTGTTTACATATGAATTAGAAGTTTTATTCTATTTCTAGTAACCAGCCATTTCCACAAGTCTCGGGTCTGTGGACTCACCCATTTATTGCTCCTGTTGGGATTTTTTATACACAAAAACATGTTTTCAAACCTTGGCTCTGCTGTAATTGGGCACTGTGTTACAAGTGGGTTTGTGCTTCAGGTGTTATCACTCAGAAACAAGAGTGGGAAAGCATGCTGTTTTGCTGCTTACAAGTATAAATATACTGTATATACTATCAAATTCAAATGATGCTTCTCTTCTTCATGTATAGTAAAGTGATATTCCTTGCTTTGTGAGCAGAACAACAAAATTAGCTGATTTAAGCAAAGCTGGTGTTAAAGCCTGCAAAGCAAGAGTGAGCTTGCAAGTTTTTTTTTTTTTTGTTTTTGTTTTTTGTTTCCAGATATTTGTAGTCTACATTAACGTGCAGTCAAGGCAGCCTAGTTCACCCTCTGTAAGGAACTCAGCATCATCCGAGCTGGCTGTAGCTGCAGGCGAAAACAACAAGGCTTTAAAAACACCCTGTTGAAGAAAAAAACAATTTTAGTCTCTTAGAGCTCATTTTAATTGTGTGCTTCCTGTTTCTGTTGGCTTATATATACATATATATATACTTATATATAAAGTATGTGTGTCTGTTTAAATCCCTTGCTGTTTGTGAGCTGTGACATACTGCTGTGTGCTCTCTGTGTTGGCTTGCTGGATATCAGGCACCCAGGGATCCTCAGAAGCAAGACATTACCATTAAATGCACCTTTGAAAAGAGCATCTGCACTTAAGACAATTATATCACAGATGGGTGTGTAGGTATGTGTGTTGTGGGTATGTGTTACTGTGTGTGTGAGACAGAGACAAAGAAAAAAGTGAGTGAGAGAGACAGAGGATGAGGGGGTAAGAGCTTACTGTGCTTTTACGTAAAATACGATCTGTGTTTCGTTCCCCTCTGACCTGAAATCTGTTTGCATCACCTCTTTTCTTAGTTTGGAACATTTGAGGTTTCTTCTCAGGACCATGCAATCGTACCTTTGTTGCAGTAAAGCCAGCAACACACACACACACACACACACACACACACCTTTCCTGGCTATTTTATTTCTCTGTCTTTTCAAACAAGTGCACACTTGTGTCTTCAGTTTGACTAAATCCACCCAGAAGCCCCAAAACCACCTTGACGCAGCTGCTGTGAACTTGTTTTAAAGAATCAGAACTGATCCAAAAATGTCTGCTTCTGACCTATTCTGGAGGAAAATTCTATCATGCCTGCAATATTATGAGATAATATGCTAAGGAATGTAAATAAACACATGCAATCTGGTCAGTCTAAGAAGTACAGTACAGTGCCAAAATCAGTGGTGTCATCTCTTGATGATCTATGGAGCAGCGATGTCTATGTCAAGGTCAGTGTTCAGATGAATTTGGGGCATCACATCTCAGCAGTGCACTACACTGAGCTGCTGAGATGGATGTCAGTGATTGGTGTTGAGTACTTTGACTGCCAGTTTAACTTGAGCAAGCGGTTTTAGACTGTATCTCACTACTTGATGCTGTTCTGAAATGGGAGTTCTATTAGGACCTATGAACCTCCACGTCCAATATGGCTGTGTGCTATTAGGGCTGGATGAAAATATTGATTTTTCCACTTAATTGTGATTTTTGTTTGAACAAATCAGTATTGATTTTTGAAGTCCCATTTGTCTTTTCTTAGTAAACATGTTACATCTGTGCTGAATGTTACCTCTACACAGAGGTTAGTTGCTGTAAGTGGTTCAGTTCAGACTGCATGGTGTGTGAAATGTCTTCTGGTTCACTTGTTAAAACCATGCACCAAATAGTTACTTTATGTTAAAAAGCAATTTTGATGACAGCTGGCTATATTAGCCTCACTGAGTCACAACAGGCCCTAAAGGTGTCACACTGTTGTGACTCAGGATGGTCAGATGAGTCTGAGTTGTAGCAGACCTAAAGATCCTGTCGACAAGAGAGATGGAGTGAAAAAAGACTGCACACTGATCTGAGCTCTCAATTTGCATTACTGAAGAGATATTATCTCTGGCTATGAGCTGTGAGGCCCATGGAAAGTTTTTAAATTATGCAAGGAAAATTAATCCTTGGTCCACAATATTAGAACCAAGTAATATTATTCTGCAAGTATAACAACAACATTGCTCACTTGTTGAATATAGAACAAAAGTCCCCTAGACTCAGAAAGCACTTTGAATCAAATTGAATCAAGACATCAGCATCCATGTCCAGCTCTATGTCTTATATTACCTGACAGGTTTCTACCAGTGTCAGATATTATATTCAGTACATTCTGCATTAAAAGTTTGTTCCACTCAGCTGTCCCATGTGTCAGCAGCACCTTTTCCCCTCTAGGGGACAGCAGGACAGACTCTAACAGCTTGGCTCCCCCATATGGCAGGTGCTCCTATCCTGTGATAAATAAACTACTGGCTACTCTGACCTCTGCCTGCATGGAGCTTACAGTGAACATGTGCTGCTGCTGGATGGGAAGAGCTCAGTGGGGGGTTTCCTTCTTCCCCTCCCTGTTCCCTCCATTCCTCCCGCTCACTCCCTTCCAGTCCTACTTAAATGTTTTCTCCCCTCGGCCGGAGTCAGCAGTCCATCTTGCACTGCATATTGCCTCTGACAGCCGCACTATTTCAAGTCGGGGATTTGAGCTAAATTGGAGTGAGCAATACCACCTGTGCCTGCTGAAGGCCCGCGCGGGTTTGCGCTGTTGTAGGGGAGCCAGCTGGAACTTACCAACTCTTCCTCCCACTTCTCTCACTCTCTTTATCCAACTTTTTATAGTTTTTCCTCCTCTGTCTTTCCAACCCTGGTCTCTACTTTGTATATGCCCCTTTCCATAGTGCAGTTTTGTTGACAGTTGAAGAGCTTCAGCTTTAACATCAAAACTCTGATAGCGTTTGACATTTAGGACAAGACAATTACCCTTAAAGCTGGTGTTGGGACTTGTGGTTACAAACCAAACAATCTACTATACTGTATGTAATTCTCCTGAGTTCACTGCTGTTACCTTGTCAGTGCCATTTTTGAATGTGAATAAAGGTTTCAGACCGATCTTGCTAAATGTGGCATGCAGGAAGGCTGCTGGTTTTCCATTACTGTAGTCCAGCTAAAAACAACTTTTCATGTCTTCATCTAGTTATTAATATATGTTTTCTTATAGAAACGTTTGGCTACCACCCAGGGTTGGAAACTGTTACATGCATTACCCTATTAGACAGACAGACACATTTTCAAACATGAAAAACAGTTTTGCTGCTACTAAGAAGCTTGTAAATGTTTACTTTGCATTGAAAAATATTAACAGTGATTTTGTAATGATTCACTATTTCACAGAGGTAAGGCACATTCTTGTAGAGTGCTGGCCTAAACATAGGATTTACAACATTAACACCCATGTGTGTAGCAATTGTTTCACTCAGTAAAATAAGAAATAAATAGTTTCAATTGAATAACACTATAAATATTTTTTTTTTGTTTTATTTTATGCTTTTTTTACTGACATTTTGATTTGTCAGCATTTCAAAGTGCAGTACTGAAGTGCTGCATAGCTTTAAGATCAATCATTAATCATTACAAACTCATGCATGAACAAATGTTTCAGACCCACAAATACAAAATACAGGTAAATCATACATATAAAACATTGCATGAGACAACTACAATATTTATATTTAATATCTCACAAGCATCTTCTGTGAATAACTGTCAGTTCTTAAAATAATGAACTGTCATATTTGTTAAACATGCTATGTTCAAAGTTCCTGGAAATTTCAGATCTTAAGTATTTTTTAATAGCACTATTATCAGTAACTAAAAAAAATCTCAGGACTCTGTGGGTGTGGTTTGACCATATTTGACTGGTGGTGCCCAAGCAACCCATTAAATGTCATCACCTTCTCATTCAAATGCTGACAAAGAGCTCAGAGAAAACAATAAATACAGAAATATTTCACGTGAAATAACCACATTTGTCTTAACATTGGTAGAAAGTAGTATATTTATGTAGAACACCAAAATAGGTTTTCAGGGCCTTTAGTGGACCTTTTTATTGTTGAAATTGAAAATATATCAGTAATATACTGTATGCCTACAAGTTCAACACTACTGGCACAAACCAACACTGTCACAAATAGGCAGTCAAAATGTCCTTTGTAAATAGAATTATCACGTCTTCGCTGCTTTACTCATCCAAATTGGCTGATAAGAGAGAACTGGGAGGGGGGGGGGGGGCAGTGGGGTTTAAGGTCTGAGCTCTGTCTTCCTCCACCTCCTGAGCAGGATACAGTAGGCATCATTTAGTGGGGAGAGCGGTGGAAACAGCATGGGGTTAGCCACAAGGTCGCCACACTTACTGCACGGCCGAGCTCATTTCCACTGCTGTCCACAGCTTGGGCTTCCCCTGCGAGGCACAGACGCACAGAGGAAGAGAGAGGAGGACTGCAGCCGGTGAAATGGCTCATTCGCTTTCTGATCACAGCCCGTCGCTTTCTCCCTCACACACTCAAACTGACACACTTGCTGCACACATAGTCGGTCACACACACACACACAGACATCTCAGACTGTCTCCATCGTGTGGTTATTTGCCATTTACATCCCTCACTCCCCTGATGTCAGGAAATATTTCCTCAGCTTTCACAGTTCACTCTGTGATTGCAACCACTTACCAGACTCATTTAAAATAAGCATGATTTTTTTTTGTGTGTTAAAAGTGAATCATGTGTCTTAAGATCAAGCCAGATTTAACATACTGGTGCTTTTCTAGAGATTATCTGCAGACAAAAGTAGAGCAAGCTAATGTGCAAACTCAGTATCTAAATATTTCACAATTATGTTAATCTCTTTCTCAAGCTATTGTGATAACTACAACTACTGCGATGATATTTCTATGAGCAACTGAGCCAAAGTGGGCTTTGCTGTCACACACTGGAAGCCTGGTTTTTGTTGTTGTGGGGGTTTTTTTTGGATTTTTTTTTTTTTGCAGGAGCACAGACACAAGATTGCATCTTTTTCCTTTTTCACACACACACTCAAACACTTTCTCTCTTTCTCCCACACACACACACACACACACACACACAAATGAACACATAGAGATTTATGTGCAGGCACCCCAGAAGGCACGGCAGTGCTGAGCCAATCCACTCTGGTTCACTTGTACCTCTGCCAAGTCTTGCTATGAAGACGTCAAATCAGCCAAATGGTCAAACACCTGAGATACACAGCATTAACAGGTTTACTGACATTTGAAGCATATAGCTAATGCTGCATGCTGAACAGATCATGGCTTCATTCCCTGTTAGCTCAAGTCAATCAGAGGTACATTTGTAGGATCATAATCAAACAGCAGCAGTATAAGAAGTGGCAAAATTTGGTGTCAGTAAAAAGTAAATTGTCACAATATCATGGGATCTGAGTAAGGCGGTGCAAAGACAGCTGTGGAAAATTTGTGCTGATAACATGTTACAATGCAGGAAAGATTCAAATAAAGATGATCAAATCAACACCTGTTCAGCCTGAGAATGTCTGTTTTATTATTCTACTGCAAATGTAGTTGCTGCACTATCATCACAAACTGATTACATTTTATTAAAAAGGCTTCCCCCCAGTATACAGTAAAACTGTTCCGTATAAAGCTACACAAGAAAACATGACCACATTTTATTTGTGTTTGTTCCATTTGATTACAGATTTCACAACAGTTACTGCAGCATATTTTTGGGAGCATTTTTGTTTCTTGATATCATGCAGATTCCAAACAATCAGAGTAGTGTGAAAGAAAGCGTAAAATGTAAATATACACTAGGACTAAACAAGATTTCCTATGCATGTTGCCAAAAGGTTTGAGAAGTGCGTTTCAATGTACTCCTTTTGTGTTTTTATATTTTCCTTTCATTGTCTATTTGCATCTTAAGACCTTTGACCAAACGTCCAGAGGCCGGGCTCCACTGTCAGAGCTAAGCATCACTCTCACTGTGATTCTAAACTTGTCTCTGTTACAGTTTTCCTCTGTGGCCCCAGTGTCTCATCCAGGGATCAATACCACCACACACCACAGCCTTTTACTCACACTCCAGCCTCGGGAAAGGGATTGCAGGGAGCTGCTGGGTCAATGGTCGGGTCCCAGTCGGTTGATGGCTGTTCGTTAAAGAGTGGTCGACACGGCGGTGCTTGGTGTTAACGGTGTCAGCCCTGATACTCCCGCCGGGCCGCTCTGTCCTAATGACCAGCCAATCAATAGCCATCTGCCCTCAGTACTGACCAATCACTCTGATGTCTCTTGTTGACACATCGAAGCAGAGGGGAAGAGGAAGGTTCAGCTGAGCTACAAATCCATTTCATTTCTGAATATGTGGCTTCGTGGGTGGAGGAGCATGATGGTGTTGCAGTCACCTTGGGTTTTGTGATGCATTTGCAGTCACTAATAAAACATTATTGATTAATTGTTAAGGACAGTAGCATTTATAGGTTTAAAGCAGGGTTAAAGAGGAGAGAATTCTGTCCACCATGGTGTTTGTGTAGAAAAATGAGAGGTCAAAGATGGCCAATTCAAATTAAAGGTTTTTTATTATTATTATTATTATTATTGGTGGTGGTTTTTTCAGTTCTGTATGCAGAACCAAACTGCACAGTGCCACTCTGCATCTGTTTTGGCTCTATTTTGTTTCTGTGACAAATTCACCTGTGTCTGTGCTAGTGAACGTGCTTTTTCCTTCTTTTCTCTTTTTCTCTTATCAGCTCCATGGGATTTCTTTTTCTCACCAGCACAGTTTGTATTCCTGCTTCTCTGTCTCTGTGCTCTTGTCAGCTTTTGGCATTTATTTGCAAGTAAACTAAACCAAAAATATTTTTATATAAATAAGACCAGGAGCTGTTTGAATGCAGTTATCATTTGAAAAACAGCCTGAGTATCTTCCCGAAAAACACCAGTCTTTAAATCTATCCCTCACTGTGTGCTGCATCATAGTTTGCTTGTGTTTTTGTGAGTGAAAGAGGCAGGAAATGCACAAGTTGTGGAGATGAAAGGGGATTCAGGCCACGTGGCGACGGCTACACTGGAGCCTCAGTCCTCTGTGTCTGTCACTGAGTCGCCCCGTCCATCCATCTGTCCAAGCGCCCTCAAAGGGACATTTGTCCCTCAACAAGGGTCATTCAGAACACACATACAGAGATAAAGACAGAAAGAAGCACATCGTCTTCTGACTGGACAAATGGACACTCGGTGACTCTGAGTGAGCCACTCCAGGACCACTTTAATCGCCTCAAACAATGAAAGAAAAAGACTTGGTTTTTAATATTAGGACTTAACTGGCTAATCTAGTGACATGCAGACAGAGGACAAAATAGACAGAGAGTGTTGCTTCTGTGGATCTGGTTTTATTATGCAGTTGATTGCATTAAAGCAAGAACAGTAGGGCATGCACAGAAACACATTTTGGTTAGTTAAAGTATTTGGCTCAGTTTCACTGTGTCCTATAGTCAGATCACTGCTACTTCTTTCAAGAGCCCATTGTTTTCTGAGGACAGTGTTGGGAAAATACATTGTCACTGTCCTGTGCAAAACGATGTATCTACCAAACATCGAGCCATCGAGACAAATGAGCCAAGAAAAACAGCCTTGTCTTTGGCTTTGTGACGGTGCATTTTACTGATATACCACAGGGGTTTTAAATAGTGTTGTTGCTGTCAAATGTAGATTGGTTTTCTCAAACCAAAAAGGAATACTCACCTAATTTGGAAATAAATAGATGGTTCTCAATTGACAGTGATGTCTTGTAATAATAGACCACCTTGACTTTTTTCCAGAGTCCTAAAATCCTGTAGAGACAGACAGAACACAACAGCAATAAAATGGTACTTTTTGCAGTGGAGTTTGGAATTTAAACCACTTAATGTTTCAGGCACAGCAAATTACTTCAGATATGGTAAAAGTGAGTTACTTGGCATAATGACAGTGGTACAACCTGTCATTTACCTTTCCACTGAGGTATTCATGCCCTACACAAGACTTTTCCACTTGTTTTAATTCATAAAAACACTTATCAACACATTGTCAGCAATTCTGTTACATGATGAGCAGTCACATTTTACATGCATAAAAACTGAAATAGTGCACATAGTGTAGAAAATGTCTGGTTACATAAACGGTTAAGTCCCTCCTCAGCTCTGCCAAAATACCTTATGAAATAGTATATCTGAGAGGAGCTGGCATTAGAGTATTTTCAGTAGAAGACATGACAATGTGACATCATGCTGAGGGGAAATGAGTACGAGCAGAGATATATAAAAAAAAATCCCACCAGCTCTATCCCTGAGCTTCACTGACAAAAATGTCTTTAGGTGGTGAGGATTATGGAGTAATCTATAATAACTAGTGAAGAAAAAGAGGAAGGAAGAAAAACACAGTCTCCCAGCCCCAAGTCTACCATCCCACCAGGGGAAACACTGCCTCATCATCTAATGTTCCCACTGATATTCCTGAATTAGAGCATTTAGACCTGTGCTAGTGGCAGAGAATCAATCATCATTTTTGTGACACTGCCCATCCCCAGAGTTTATTAAATGCACTATATCTTCCTCTCTAATTTCTACAAGTTGTGGAGATTTTTTTTGTCTTTTTGGTCCCTTCAGCCAACCCCATCCCTCCATCCCTCAATAATCAGTTTATCCATACGCTTCACATTACATTTGCAAAGCAGCTGGGGGGGACCACTGCCATCTTGTATGGAGGGGCTTCAGTGTGATTACCCGTCCTCATATTTGGCACGCACTCAGACTTGTCAAATCCTTTGATCTGAACTATCTTCATAATCACTTCAAAAAGTCTTCCTGAGAGCGTGAGGGCTTTACAAATGGGCTTCCCACTTTCACAGGGCTACACTCTTATTCTCCCTCTGAGCATGTGTGCTGGTCTGAGTCGGGGTGTGTGTTGTTTGTCTTTAAGTTTGTTTTAGTCTCAGTTTTTCGATATGTGTGTGACTTTCTCTGTATGTTCCACTCTTTTGTTTTTACTGTGCACTTGTTTTTTCTTCCTTGTGTATCTTGAATTTGTGTAGCTTGAACATATACAGGATGTTAAGTGAAGTTAGACAACAAACAGCTGAAAGGTCTGGATGTGTCCTCCTGTAGCCATATCTCAATTTTAGACTTTGTCCTCACTATTTACAGTAAGTGATACATACAAATTGTATTATACTGGTTTTTCAGATAGAATACCAAATCACCAGCAGGTCATGACTCCTACTAAATTATAAATTCATGCAATGAATGCACTCGCAGTGATGCTTTAATGTGCGTATTGCTCCTCCGTTCCTTTGCACTATAGGACAGTTGTGTCCAGTGCATTGTGCGACAGTAGGGCATATCAACAGCACACTCTAAAGTTTGCACTCTGACTTTTTGAATCTGCTCTGTTATGTTGCCAGTCTGAACAAGTGGCAATTCTATTGTTACTGTGTTATGAGTATGTTTTACTTTTGACACTTGAAGTGATAATACTCTGGAATAAAAATTAGAAGATGGAACATTTACTTGAAATTGAGCATTTCTGCCTTGTGCTATTATAATTTTTACTTAATGATTTGAACAGGCCTTTCTTACAGCAGACAGTGTGCTAGGATGCACATTACCTAAGCAGCTAAATGGAATTCAGCCATCATTCATTTGAATGTTATCTGTTTTTCTACAGCTGTGACACATGAAATATTTTCTGTGGTTCTACTTTGGGATTTAAGAGTATTGCCCACCACTGTTCCCAGGACAGTGTTTGTGTGTACAGACTGACATGTCTCTTACTCCACTGTTAGCGTTGTTGCACCTGTTGGGGCGGAACAAGTTACACCTATTTCATTCTAATAGTCCCAGCTTCCTTGTCAGCAGGGGTCTAATCACCCAGAAGTGAAAACACTCCTGTGACCTTTTTGAAAACTGCTCAAATTTGGGACGTAGCTTATATATCTGCCTTTCTCTCGCTCAGTTGCTTTAATTCAAGTAAGATTTATTGGTATGATTATTTTAATGTGATGTTGCCAGAGCAGTATAGTACATGATAAAAACCTCTGACCTGTTCTCTATCCTGCTCCCAGGGACATTTGCAGATCTGGCTTTGTGGTTTGAGATGGATTTCATTATCTCTCAATAACTGCCCATCTCTCTCACTCTCTCTGTGTGTGTGTGTGTGTGTGTGTGTGTGTGTGTGTGTGTGTGTGTGTGTGTGTGTGTGTGTGTGTATCTCTTTCTGTCTTTCTACTACAAGGTCCAGAAAAAGGCCTCAATGAAACAGACAATAGTGGCCTTTGAGCATATTTTTAATATCCTGCCCCTGTTGACTCTCTCTCTGTCACACCTAACACCTAACTCTGGCCTAAAGCCTTATTCCCCCCCACCCCTCACCCCACCCCACCCCAAATCCAGGGGATGGATGGAAGTGGAAGCAGCAACAGAGGTAGCAGGGGTCACACCTAACACCTAACTCTGGCCTAAAGCCTTATTCCCCCCCACCCCTCACCCCACCCCACCCCAAATCCAGGGGATGGATGGAAGTGGAAGCAGCAACAGTGGTAGCAGGGAGGAGGAGGGGGTGTAAAAGGAGTGCTCTCCCTCTCTTATTCTGCACTTCAACAATAGCATTTACATATTTTTATACTGTCTTTCTCCCTCTGTCTCTGTATGTCTCTCTCTCAAAGAAAACAGCCTAAAGCGTGAATACTCCAGCAGCGGGCGTGCAGAGGGAAACGGAAGCCAGGGAGACTGCATGTCCGCTTTTGCTGGGGGGGGCAGACTGTGTACACACACACACACACACAAGCTAAGGCCCTTACCTCCAGAGGGTGTACACCAAGGGGAGGATGGGGAACAAGGAGGGGTCTCACAGGAGGACTGTGACTCTCCAGAAAGAGGAAGAAACAAAGGGAAAAACAGACATTAGAATCAGGTGGGTGCACTCGTAAAAACCCAACACTCAAACTAGTTCGCAATGTTACACTTCAAATGCAAAACAAGCAAAACCAGCAGAGGAAGGTAACAAAGTCCATTTACTCACATACTGTCCTGAAGTACAGTTTTGATGTACTTGGACTTGCGTGTTTCCATTTCATGCCACTTTATACTTTTGCATCACTATATTTCAGAGGGAAATACTGTGCTTTTTACTCTACTACATTTATTTGACAGCTGTACTGTAGTTATTTTATATACAAAGCATATGATGATCCTAAAAAATATGATGCATTGATTAAACTACTAAGATGGGGTACACCCTAAATGGTCTTATATTTGTATAGCGCCTTTCTATGCTCTTACAGCACACTCAAAGCGCTTTCACATTATTCGGCCATTCACCCATTCGCACTCCCAAACACACACATTCACACACCGGTGACATCACCGGGAGCAACTGGGGGTTCAGTGTCTTGCT